TCGAACTTCTACTATTGTTCAAACTTTGAGGCGGCATGGGTGGTTTAGAAGCATTCACAGGATTAAAATTTAAGTTGTACCGCGTGAACGATTTTATTCCAGCGGAGGATTCAGGAGAAGTTCTGTGTTGAGATCGCGTCTTGTCCCGTCCCGCTGAAGATACTCGAAAAAGACCCACGTGGGGAATAATGTGAGGCTGATCCATTAGCGGAGGCTCTACGGATGACACACGGTCATGACTGGGAATCTGAATGTCTCCATCGGACCTGTATGAAAATGGATAACAGTTGTAGCACCATTGTAAAGCCAAATATATCACTGAACCTTAAACGATCTCATTAGTAATTCTCCTCACGGTCTCCCTCACAATTCTCCCCACGTTAGATTGGAGAATTTGGTATCGTATCAACTAATAATTTCCTACTTGATAATTGCTTGTATTCTCATCACTTGTCTTCTTGATGTTGTATTGATATTGCAAGGAGAAATTATGTCTCGGTCACTCATAGGAAATAAAGGGTTAGGGGTCAACTATTGGAATACGACTTGTACTAAAGTCACTGGAGTTATAATCACTTAACATCAGGTTTGCCGGCCATATTCATAGGAAAGTGTAACAAGTACTATATTCATGCATAGAATTTGGTCTTTTGATAGACACCAAAGTTTGAACGGCCATAATCTAAAGAAATCTCAAAACTTAAGAAACTTTAAAGAAACCAGCCATAGGTTGTGGGTGAAGTAATCAATCTTGACTTTGGTGAAATAAGTTAAATTCAGTTGATGCGTTTATGTGCAAAAAAGAAATGCAAGTAACTTTGGGGCAATATTCAAATCTCTATAGGAACTTTACTCCAAGGTCTGACAATTTTTTCCACTCTTACCGTGACTTATCATTTTGTACTACCATCAATTGAGATCCGCTGAGAGTAAAACTACTTGGTAAACTTGCTGCTGAGTTGCTACTATCATTAAGTCCTTTTAATCTCTGGCTTGGTCTTTTCCCAGCCCCTCCTAATGCATGACTGCCTTTTGGTCCAGACCTAAATTGCCCCACTCCTGACACCATTTGTCTGTTTGGTGGCCTGGGTGCCGTGGTAATAACAGATCCAACATAAGAGCCATCCACAGGGCACTGTGAATGGTTTGAAAGCCAGTTGTCGATACAAGTGATGTGAAAAGGATGGTGACAAGGAAGAGTTCTGATGCGCTGGTGGACTTGAAATCCTTGTAAGCAGACACCACAGTTGCTGCTGTCACCCAACAGCCTGTGTCCATCTTGCAACACTTGTGTTGGTAGACTGTGGATCACATTTGCAGGGATGCCATCCTGATCAGTAACCTGCCTGTGAATGCAAGGACCAAACAGGTAATGAGGATAGTTCTAAAATTAAATTAAATTTTTAATCACTTTTGATACTCGTACGAAACTGATCCAAATAATTTTGTTGTCCTACCTGTCAAGTTGCAACAGCAATTCATAATCACTCTCAGAAATATCTCTATTTTCCAAGTCACTCATTACTGCACTGGGTAAAGGAGTTATCCGTGAAGCTGCTCGCCATCGTTCACTGGGTTTCTAATGAACATGAAGAATACAATTTTGTACTGATCTCCAACTTCATGTGATGCAAATAACAATTAGTGTGAGATTCTATCAATCAATGTAGAATTTACATGCAACAAATTTCACCATTGAAATTGATTGAAATCTGATTTTGTGTGAGCAGTTAACCCTTCGACTCTGATGAGTGACTAGCATCCAATTTCTTCTCACAATATCACCCCTGAGCCAAACATTAAGGTGAGGAGAATAAAAGAAATGATCATCAACTAAAGAAGGTCATGATTATAAAACAAATTATTCTTGTCAGCACTTTAGGAGAGGTATAAAGAACAGTATGGAGAGTACGCATACTGATGTTACCTGTCTAAACTGGAAAGAATGCTGTAAATGTGTGTCTGTGGCAAAACAAGAGTGACACAGATGATAATCTGCACAAACAACACACCTGTAAACAAGCCAGAAATTTTTTCAAATTAGTAAGCTGTCAAGTTGTATAAATCAGAATTAACTGTTAATAAAATACTACAAAATAGTAAAGGGAGTACTGTAATGGGTGGGTGGGGGGAGGGATATTACAAGATAATTTGGTTTCTGAGTTGATAAATGTAAATTGGCCTCTGTAGAGAGTTTCCACAGCTAACATTATGACTTTTAATCTTCTGTCAGAGCCATAGCCACAAAATAGTCTACCTCATAGATACAACAGGTGTGTGTTACCTGTAACATTTTCCAGCTATGGGACAAACTCTGCATCTCTTACAAGTTGCACCAAGGTGAAGGTCTTGTCTTTCTGCTCTTGTTTTACGTCGAGAGGATTTGTGAAACTCATCCATTAATTCCTTTTAATTAAAAATACTTTAGTTGTAAAAGCCAAGTTAAGAAATAAAAATCCAAAATGTCTGGGTAAAATGAGCGTCATGGTAAAAATATCAAAAGGATGTTTTAAATTACTGACAGAAATGAAAAAAACAGGTCATGAACATCTTCATGTTGAATGACTAACCTGCAAAGTCCCAAAGTCAATTCTACAAAGAGGACACTTGATGATGGTTTCTCCAGTGGAACGTTGGTGTTCAGCCCAGATTTTCATGCACTTTACATGAATACTATTACCACAGCCATACCTACAAACAACAATGTAAATGCTTTCATTGGTTAAACTGTGGTTAGTTTAGATGCCAGCCGGAAAAAGTGCACTGAAAACATGATATTGATGCTTGCAGCAAAACTTCCAAGAACTATTGTGAAACAACAAACTTGTCCCTTTTAATTGGAGTTTTTACCAAGTCCCAAGGCAAAACTTGAATACTTTTCAATGTGGAGATTATTGAAAGAAAAGATTGCCATACAGAACAAGTGAACGAAGGTTTGTTTGCTGAATTTCTTTTCCATTATGTGGAATGTTTGCTACTGTGTATCTTATCAGAGGCTCCCTGTCTTTGACACTTACTTGCAATAAGTTAGTGGTTCAGGTTTCTGCAGCAACTCATCCTGACAGATTGGACACACATCTTCTTCCTCGATCTGTTTCTGTTTAAGTTTCTCTCGATCATCAGAGTTTGCCATATCTTTACCAGAATCCTTCCTCTTTGATCTGTTTGACCTTGAGTAGCCTCCCTTCATCACTTCATTAATCTCACGTTCCACCAGTGATAGTTGAAATATAACTAAGATTCAAACAGTGATCATTTGTTCCTTGCTCATTATCTTTACAATCACTAAACGGTGGTAGAGTAAAATCAGCTTATAAGTCTCCTGGCCCATCTGGCCAGAGCTTATCCAAGTTTCAGCTGCATGAATTGACAAAGAATCTTACAACCCCCTCTGTATTAGATGTTAGTCCATCAAGGCTTTCTCCAGCATTTTCTAAGGCTTTCCTAATTATTTTCTTGTAACCATTTATATTCCTGGGTGGAGAGAAAGAGGCACTGAGAGAGTAAAGTTTCTCACCCAAGAACAGATAAACATATTGATGCAGCTGGGGTTTTAACCCAGACCTCTCAACCCACAGTCAATTGCACTGATCACAATAGATACTGACAAGCTGTTACACATATAGGCAACCAACATTGTAGGTATTTGTTTTGAGTTTTTCCCCCTAAAAATTTAAAATAATCTGATTTAAAACTAGCAGAAAAAAGTGCAAAACAGGCATTTAGCAAACAGTGATATGGGTACAACATTTTTGCATGTACATAGTTGATAAAGTACTTACTCTGATTTTCTTTAGGAACTCGAAATTTTTTGAGAAGCACCCTGCAGTAAAATAACAAAGAAGAAAACAAAAGACAAAAAAGTGATGTATAAGCTATCATTTTCAAACAGTACTATTGAGTGCTAATGAAGTCTTTGAAAAGAAGATGTTTAAATATCTTTGTGCATTAAAAGTGAGTGCATGCACAAATTTTTGTTATGTGTTGGAATTAAAATTGTACTTACCAGAGGATATGAATACATAGCTCCTTCTCCTTTGTGAAATTTTGACAAGTACAAGAATGTTGATCGCCCAAAAACACCTGAAAAACAAAATAATATGGAATGAGACAATAAAATATGAAAAGTCATGCATACTTTTTGTGGCTTACTTCTGGTAACATTCCTAGCAGGGTATCCTAAGGTTCAAAGTGAGTTAAAACTCATGATAGGGTAGAGTTAGATTATTAGGGAACTGTTATGGTACAGTTGAAAACGTGGAAAGTATACATGTACGTATTGTAATGTAAGTTCTCATATTGTAACGCCGGCAAACAAAATAAATAGGAGACAATAATTATGTATTTGCAGAATCATGTTGCAAGTTACTGTATGTTAGTTTCACCATTGTCAAACTTTTTTATACAACAATAGTATTGTTTCAGAGTAAATAGCTTATGGTAAGGGAAAACCAAAGATTTGAGTTTTACCCCAGTTCATATGACAATCAAGTAGAATTAATATAAGTTTTCAAACGTCTTTGGGTACATTCATCATGCATCCAACAAACTTTAGGGCTCGTCTGTATTCTCGTATCATTCGTAAAAGAAAATAGACGTTTTATACGGCTATGAGACTTGTTGTTATTGTTAAGAAATCGCTGTTTACGTCAACAAACCTTAAATTTCTTATCCAAGCCATCTTCCTTCAAAAGAAATCCTGTGGGGCCTGTCTCGCGAAGAAGATAAATTCTAGCTTGAATGGCTTCCTCAATTCTGTTCAGAACAACATCAGGGCAATTTCTTCTCCAGGGAATCCTTCGAGCCATACCTTTCGATGTATGTTAGGCTTTATTTGGTTTATTTGGAAGGAATATCGTCGGAAAGATAAAGTTATCTTTTGGAATTTGAATTTTGCAAATTTTGTTTTTGCCTCGTATTCACGTTTGCCTGGCAACGATTTTTGTGGAAAAAGACTGGAACTAATTTGAGGGACATTTGGTATGGCTTATACAACATCCATCCAGTCGTTTTGGAAACGAAGGAAGCCTCTACCAAGCTGTTTGCTGTGAATTTTTGTCTGAATTTTGACCTTTCTTGCGGCTAGATGGCTGGAGATCGAATACATCTAAAGCTGGATAGTACTGCTGCGGCTTCTATAGATCAATACTTGGAATATCGAAGGTTTGTCACCTAAATGCGATCTAAAATAGCAATTTAAATCGAAGCGAGCTTGGTTATTGGCTGGCATGCAGTAGCAGCATTTTCGTGTGAAATGAGTCATTTACAATGGTTCAGGTCTTCTAAACCTATATAAACCTAACAGCTGTGATTTTGCATTTCAATGAATGCTGCAACAGAATTGCAGGGTGTGCGCAGTTAGCTGGAGACACACTTGTGCTACATTTGCATAATTTCGAAAAGACTGTTGTTATTTTTTTTTCTCAGAATTGTTGGGGATGACGACGGAGGAAAACTCTTTACTCCTGAAGAATATGAAGAGTACAAGAAAAAAGTTCTGCCACAGAGAATGAAGAACAGGCTGTATGTAAGTTGGACAGCACCAAACGGTATGGACTGCAAGATGGTCGGCCCTGAAACAATGTGTTTCTGCAATCACAGGTGAGAAATGCAAAAATGGAATTACTGACAATTATTAGATGACTTTGAGCAAAGTATCGTTGATTGTCAGCAACGAGAAAATCGATACTAATGAGTGATCTGCGAGACGCTGGCAAATCACGATATTTTGGGGTAAGCGAGACGATTGTCCTATTAATCGATTACTATTTTTTTTTCATTATTTCGTAAACTTCAGCTGCATTGGTAAACTAGTTTATACCACAGTTTTCTTTAATCAAACAACTGTATGTATAATGAAGTATGGATGATATGGAAATCTTGGCTTTTAATTATTTTTTTTTTTTGGGGGGTATTTCTTTGGCAGCTTAAAGAAGTGATCTGACAATTTGCATGAATGAGCATGGACATTTCTACTCGTAAGCAGAATGTTTTTGCAGGAGATTACAGTATGACAGTATTACATAAGAGCAAACCATTTCCTGGAGCCATCTATCAGCAGTCACATGTAGGGTCACATAGAGAAATAGAAAAAAAGCAAAATAAATAATTTGGTAACATTTTATTCCAAAATACAAGAAATCAAACTTACAAAGAACTTTTAATGCTTTTTTTCCAACATAGGTACAAACAACACAAAACTGATTATGAGACACTACCGCAAATCAGACCGATCCCAGTCCCTTGCCGTGTTAGTGGCTGTAAATGTAAGAGTTACCACTATGTACCAAAGAACGGCACCCAGCCAATCAGATGTCAGTGTAAACACTTTGCTGATGATCATTCCGAGGTGGTACCATACAAGTGTTCAAAAGGATGTGCATGTAAAAAATTCAGAAGTTCTTACACTTGTGGCTGTGGAGAACCAACTTATGCTCACAAGGTTGGTGAAATGTGCCATTGTTTCTAACTTAGGGTCCTAGATGAGTAAGCAAACCTTCTCCCACCCCTCCCTTCCTCCTGCCCCGCTTTCAGAGGTCTTAAGAGGAAATGAGACATCATTAAAATTTGCTAGAATTTCTGTAGACAATTTTGCTTTGGCTCCTGCAAATTTTTGTTAATCAAATAAGGAACAGCTCATATTTTAAACTCATAAATAAATGCAGTAAAACTGTCCAAACTTTATCTCATTGTTAGATTTAGATTTTAAAAAATCGGCTCTCACATACTCTCTCTGGAAGACTGGGATTCTTCTCCTCTCATACCACAATCTTACTTTTGGCATAAAATTAATTTTTTTCATGGGGCTGACACAATTACTGAAGAATAAAATGAATTTTCAAAATAAATTTAAATGTATTGGTTAAGAGTCTCAACTTGCAGAAGGTAGACCAGACAGTGGGCTGTTCTTAGGGCACAACCACTGAGTTTGTCTTGAAAAAAAACCAACAACAACAACAACAACAAAACCAACAAAAAACAAAACAAAAAACCCTCATCTAGAGTATTCCTACTTAACCTTTTACACCTAGCATCAGTATACGTATTCTTCATACTGTTCTCTATACAATAATGCACTGACAAGGAGAATTGATATAACAGTCACGAGCTTCTTAAGTTCGTGATTATTTCCTGTGTTCTCATGACCTTAATGTGTGATATGTGGGGTGATATTCTAAGGAGAAATTAGATGTCAGTCACTCTATAGGTTCAGAGGGTTAGATCGCAGGGAAGAGGACTTGCATGTGGTTCCACCAGGTTTCAAGTCCAGTACTCACAGTAACCATTTGACTTTAATGAACTATGCATAGAGCAAGCTGTCTTTTTTTCTCTATTGAAATTTTTCCCCACAAGACAATTGTTGAAACAAAAGAAGAACGCATATCTCGTGGCCACCCAACAGGCCATGATGTGCCTTATGCTGCCATGGGTGGAATCACAGGGTTCAGTTCACTGATGGATGGCTACATGCGCTTGGATGACAGTGGAATTGGCCCACCACCCTTGCATATGTTGGAGCAGCCAGTAGGTATGCAAAAAAAAAAAAAAAAAATTGCCAGGGTTTGCTGCCTTCCTAGATTAAGAACATGTTCCCAAAAAACCTCAGAAAAAGACATTAAATTCAAGCACAAGAGCTCTGCTTTAACTGGTGTTCTTTTTTTTAAATATGTATAACAGGAGTTTTTCCATACTGCGCAAGATGTCTACAGTTTTTCAATTTTGTTGTTTTTCCCAGGACCTAATGACCACCCTTTCCTCAGAGCACAAGCTGGTCTGGCTGGGCTGTCATTAGAGGATGGAATGGGTGCTGGTGCAGGACAGGTGGCATGTAGAACCACTGAGGAAGAGGACATGGCCTATTTTGAGAAGCGATACCAAGCCAGAGTGAGTGAAATTTAATGTAAATCTCTTTTGAGTTTTGTTCACATTTACAAGTTACAATAAGTAGGAAGACTTGACAAGTAAACATTCCTGCTTTTACAGCTGAAGGCAGAAAAGGAACAGTCTAGAGTGCAGCGATCACCACAACCTAAGAGGTTGACAGGGCCAGGCACTACACAGCAGAGCACAGGGAGTGCTTCCAGGAAGACTGGCCCTAGTAAGATGAAATCAGCAACCAAGCCTGTATCCTCTCGAAGCCTTGTATCCCAAACTGGAAGGCAGAGCAACAGATGATGAAACATCTTGAGGGGATAACTGGCGTAGAGAGAAAGTGTGTGTAGTGGTGTGTCTAAGATGGGGGAGAAAGGTTTTTGTCTCTCACTTGATGTGTCCCATGCTCTAATAACCCCCTGGAAGGAGAGGGCTCATAAATTACTTGGGCTTACAAGAGAGAGGGGCTTATTATGGAGGGGGGCTTCTAGGAGGGCGGGGGGGCTTATGAGAGAGGGGTGTATTAGAGAGGAGGGCGTATTAGAGAGGGCTTTTTAAAGTAGGGGGCCTATTAGAGAGGGGGTCTTACACAACCTTTTAGGAAGGGCTTATTAGAGCATTTACTGTAAGCACAAGTAACTGTTGTAAGACCAAAAAAAAGCTATTCATAAATATTTCTTACACCCCATTACACAAGAAATGAAATACAAGGTCACTAATTTATTGAAGTATTTATACACATACATTTGCACTTACATTGACTTTCTTAACGCTTTTTTTAAATGAATGTAATAAAAACACAAAAGAAAATAAATTACAATACTGCTTCTACATGATTTGCAAGATCCTAACATGAGATAAGCTACTAATAATTAGTCTTCTTCACAACTTTTGCACAACTTTTGCGTGATTCCATGTTAGTTCTTGGACAATTCGACTGTCATGCTAAAGTTAATACATGAGATCTCTATGTAGTTAAGGGTGTTAAGTTATTCAGTCAGAGCAGTTGAACGTAACTATAAAAATTTTACCGACCTAAAATATGTATGATCAATACAAACCTTGCTGCTCAGACACAAATCTAATGTGGAAAGCGAAGTATTTGAAGAAACAATGACGTGAAAACTAAGTGAGCATTTTGACCAGAAAATGCCTTGAAACCAAATGGTTACTGTTAATAAGGACAAAAACATCTCTGAGGTGTTCAGAGAAACAAGACAATTCTGAGGAAATGTTCTTAAATATTACTCCTGATAAACTGAAATCACAACCGTATATGCCTTTTTCCTTTTTCGCCATGGACTAGAAGGATAAAGTGTTCTAGAGCCACGGGTGCCATGCTGGATCCATGCGGCATAAATTATCAGGGCTAGTGGCCGCTGCTATCAGAGTTGTCACCTTAGTCTCCCCTCCCTCGTATTGTGCCAAGTCTACGAAGTAAATGAATGATAATCATGCGTTAAACAGTTATTAATTTGTGGTATCAGCAGATAAGTGACCAAAGACTTCGATTTTTACTGTGGTATAAATTAAGATGAAACTTTTCGTGCTGATCCTGCAGGATACTTTGACTTACTCTGTAGTCTAGTGGTAATGGCCTTCACAGCTGCGTTCACTAGTGTAATTAACAGCTCGCTGTCCATATCAGTCGGTGGGTTACTCAGGGGAAAGGTGTGGGCCTCGTCTTGTTCCTGCAATTAGAAGCAAGAGTGTTACATTTACTTAAAACTCTAAAACCAAGCAGAAGAGATACACAAACCAAGTAGAACTTTTTATGGCCAGATTCGAAAACGGGTATGGATTTACAAGGCCAGGGGTCTACAAAAGGATGTCGGAATTACATTCTTTTGTCTGAAAGAAAGTCAGGATTTGGAAAACTAAGCGGCACAGCCCAACCACCCAATATTTCAAAGACGTCCATCATTCGCCCGCCCCACCCCCTCTCCCCCGATATTTAAGTAGCTGGCTATGGACGTCGTTAAAGGCGGGATAAACTTAACCTCTACTTTTTAATTCAAAGTAGCGGAGGGAACGTTTACTGACCTTTTTATGCCAAGCAATAATCTCGTCTCGCAACACAGCTTTCAAGATACTCTGAACACTGAAATGAGGCTCAGCTAAACACCGCGCCGCTGACACCATCGCTGCCGTCATCACTCCATTCACACCGACCGGCGTAACGAACTCGGCAATGTTCGGAGTTAGTCGGAAAGGTACGGGACGGTTCGCGTCCAGTTCGCCTTGGGTACAAAAGAAACGAAAGCACAACTCAGTCCTGCAAAATTTTATTTACAAAATGGTTTACCAAAGATTGATGTCTACCTTTTGTGTCGTCCAGCTCAAAGCGGCTGTAAGAGACAGTTAGTCGGCCCGAGTCCTGCGCAATTTGGAGCATTTCTGGTCCCAGTCTTGTAAGATGCAGAGTGAACTCAGCAAAACCAGAGAGAGCGAGTTGAATGCAAAGCTACAAGAAAAGAAAACTAACATTTAGTTTACTCGGTTATTTAATTGAGCAAAGACCAGTGAGAGGTCTTCACGTACCTGTTTCCTGAAGGTCCAATAATCAGAGGGATCCTGATACGTGTACTGGGCCCATTCTTTGAGAAGGACTTCTGGCACCAGTGTGAGCTGCACCTCTCTGAGAATGTCCTTTAGAACCTGGTGAGTCACCTGACAGCCACGTGACTGGACAGAAGCGAGGCGCTCGTAATACAACGCGATTGGTGCGTCAGACTCCACGTGTTTCTTGTCACAACGCTACGAAGAAAAATAATGGGTAAATATGAGGAGTGTGGTAGGGAAACAGAGAAGTGCTGGAAAATGGCTACTTACGTCAGTTAGGATCTCCCTTAGAGAAATGAAAGACGGATTGTCCTAAAAAAGATTTTGAAACTGATTAACATAAAGAAGAATGAAGTTAACGAGACATGGAGCAGAACAACTTTACAGCAATGCATGACTGATAAACCATAACGCGTGACTGATCATAACATCGCGTGAATTACCTCTATGAGTCGCATTTGAGGTGATACAGCTACAACACGCGGTACCGTAAATAACAGGTGTCTTTTGCAGGACTCCTAAACGAACAAAAATAAAATCTATTAAGTATTTATTACAGTAATAAACGTTGGAGAGATTTTTAGCCGTGTTCAAAGCATGTAACGATTCTACCCAAAAAAAAATAATAATAATAAAAAGCCCGCAAGCGTATGAGGCAGTTGAGTCACGTGAATAGACCATGGGTTGCAGAAGAGGTATTTCCCTTGTTTGAGGAAATGAGAAGAACCTTTCTGTGTCGTTATTCTTTTTGTAGAAACAAAAGTTGTATTTCTTCTCTAAAACTTCATCACTTGTACCTTTCTCTTCTCTAAATAAAGATTTAGGAGCCTCAACAGTTGAAGAATTCTCTCTTCCCTTCTCGATTCCGTCATGCACGCATCGTTCACTACCAGGTATGGATAGATCTGAAAGGTAAAACACAATTCAAACTTTAAAAAAGTAAGAAAGTAGCACAAACATTACACTGATTTAAGTTCTAGGTAAAAAAGTGTATTTCTTTTAATTCCACGTTTCACGGATCAGCATTATAATATCATATATGGTCATACCTTGCCATTATTACCCCGGATGTAAAGGCGCCGAGCAGAAAAGTTGTGCTTTTGAACGAGCTCAACCCGCGGCATAAAGCGAGCGATCCTAATATAGTATGGACTATGCTGAAAAGAAATTAAAACATACACATTCAACACTTATTTACTAACTTGAGATTAACAGCACTGTGTCATTAAAACAAGTTGCTCTATCGTGCCAACTGGCTGAATTTCTATTCAAAAGAGAGCGAAAAGGGTAGCTTTCTCTTTTCAACTAACCGTGTTGAGCTTGGGCATCAAAAACTCGCCAGGAAGCTCCACTTCTGCTGTAGAGGTCGTGAAATTACTGAGGAATCGACATCTCTCCTCCAAAAGAAAAGAGCTACAAAGAGACAGAGAGGTTCACGCTTAGCTTGATAACTACTTTTAGCTTGTCCCTGAGTGTACCTCATACAGCACACACTAACATACATAAGCAAATACGTACATTGTTCCACATCTATATGAAAAAAAGCTTAAAATGCATGCAACATTACTAGGTTGTTTCTCAAATTCGAGACAAATGTGTCTTACCTTGGGAGAAGTTTTGCTCTTTCTTCCAGAGTCTTGATCCATTTCTTCAGTTTACCGATCAAAGTGTGAAGAACCATGGACCCTGGTTGACTGTAAGATTTAAAAATATGACTTGATACTACATACACTCTAAAATATCTGGACGTTAACAGTCTCAGTTGTTATCCTCTTCAAAAGTAAGTAAAAATCAAAACAGTTTCAAGCTTGAATCATCATCATGTTCAATAGCGTCCAACACTAAAAGCTTGGACATTAAGTTAAACTAGGTGTCCCCTAGGACGAGAATGTATTTATTTTTCCCACTGCTTACGTGAAGTCGAAATCAACAGCGAACTGTTCCTTCAGCCTCTGAAATACTGGATCTTCAGCCGTGGCTTGGGCCCTTCTCGCCAAGGACTCAGATGCAGCTGATGAAAAAGTGCTTGATACACTCGAGGCCGATTCAAATCCGATTCCGAATGTGCTGACTAATTTCTTCACAAAGCTCAGTGTGTGTGGTGTGATTCGGGCAGCTGCAACTGTTGGAAGATCGAAATTGTTTTAACAACTCAAACCAAAGCAAATAAACAAATAATGACCGAAGTCTGCTTCATCAGAAATTCCAATCTTTAGTGCAGGCGTCCAACTGATTAAAGGGTATTTGTTCCCATCGTTTCAGAAAATGAAGGAGCCTGTAAAACTTACCATCGCTTCTTGTTTCAAACGCGACTTGATAACACTTTATGAGTCCTTGGCGCAGCTGCCTTAATACTTCCTCAGGCCAACCTTCACGGAACCAAACCATCTGCCGACAAAAAACAAACTTTTCAGCTTCAAAAACCCATCATGACATGGACCGATCGACAACCTCATCAAGGAGTGAGAGTAAGAATGTGGTCTCCCAAAAGATGCATAACTTTATAACAAAAGTTGCATAATCTTAGTGCATGTTAATGTACCTAATTGACTACCACTTTACGGGCTGGGAGTAGAGTTGGATGAAAGTGGCTCAAAAAGTGCACAATCGCAGAATAGGCACATGTATCCAAACGACTACTCTTTCTAGGGCCGAGAGGAGGGTTGGAAGAAGATCCCTTACAATAGTGTATAATTTTACGACATGAATATGTACCTGATCTACTACTCCTTCGAGGGCTGAGAGGAGAGTTGGATGTAGATCCCTCAAAAAGTGCATTATCTTACTACAGCGCCACATCTGGGCCGTGGCTCTTATCGCCCCTGGGTCACTATGACTGCTAGTTGGTGTTGAAGCTGAAAACCAAAAGATGTACATTAAAATTTTATACAACAAAGATCTTTTGGTACATAGGGGAAGACTACAGACAATAACTAACTTCTGATGGATATTCTAATGCAACCTTTTCTTTCTTTTGGTATCCCCCCCCCCCCTTTCAGGTCTAATTCTTGTTTTTACGAGTCCCCCTGTGGGGTACCTGTAGTTGGTGTCGTGGAGCCGGCAGTTGTAGAAGTGGTCGCTGAGCCTGCAGTCGAAGCTGTAGCCTGTTCAGAGGTAGTTGTTGTGGGCATCGGGGTGGGTGTTGATGGCGTTGTCTGAAATGAACCAAACAAAAGACGACATGTAACACAATTCGAAAAGCTTGAAGAGAGTACGATCAGAGGTTTCATAAGAATAAATTTAATGATCTACAAACCGGTGTGGCTGTTGAACTTGCCGCATTTTCTGTAAAAAATAAATGTTAACAATTAATAAAATCACTCGTCTCGTCCTTTAGACTAAACAGAAACAAGCAACACCCAAAAGAATCTTTCCGTTTACATACGTCAAGTAACATCTGACAATGAAGTGGAAAACAAGTTAATACCTGGTGCAGCGCTTGTTGGCGTTGAACCAGAACTTTTACTCGTTGACGAGGCTGTGATACCAGTCTGTCCTGTTTCTGAACCGGTTGCACTGGTTTTAGGGGTAGCTGAAGACGCGTTTTGTGATTCTGAGGAGGCGGTACTGTTGCTGCCTGAAGTAGAAGACCGCTGGGTTGTTATGTTCGCTGCCTCCATTTTATCTGGGATTTCAACAGAAGTGAAGCAGCAGATTTATAAATAATAGCAAGAGGTTACAAAAGCTTAAGAATTTTTTAACTAGGAGTGAAATATAATATTTCTCAAATCATTTAAGAATCTACTCTCTGTTAAATTTTGTAAGTTAGAATCCAAGCGAACTTCGATTCAATAAAGCACCTAAAAGACAAGGTTGCTAAAACATGTCGTCCGCAATGAACCCGGGAAATATGCCACAGGCAACGAACCAAAGTGAGTGCGGGAAGAATAACGACGTAAAATGCAACTGTGGTCAAAGGTTGGAGACATGCATCAGCGATGAGCAGATATATGTTGGAGGCGCAGGAGTATCGAATGCACTGTAAGTACAAGCTTATGACATGGCTTCTGCTGTAAGCTTATCCACGATTGTTCTCAGAGGTGAGTGGTTGACTAACAAACTCTCACTGGTACGGATGATTAAGCTCATTTTACAGGTACTTAGATGGGCCGTCTTCGCCTCGGCTTTGAGGGAAAATATTGTTCGTACACTTGTAGACGGGGCCGAGAAGGCGCATATAAATGAACATCAAAGAATAACAAAGAAACGCACCATTTTTGATAGAGTTATATGTTTTTGTATTTTCTTATATGCTCCTGTTACTCGAAAACCAACCGATTAAGGTCCTAATTAACAATACTCACGTCTCTCCCGTTGCTCAATCTTGCAGGTAAGATACAAGGTTCTAATTGGAAAGTACATGGCCTGAAAATAGGATATCATTCGATAAACAACACAAAAAACTGATATTGTATCCAGATCGTCAGGCTAGTGAGGCGCAGACACAATCAACGTGGAAAAAGAACAAATCAAAGCAAACTGAAAAAGAGAGACGAAAGAGAAGTGAACTACTTCCGTTCACTAACCTGAGGATAAACTCGACCAATATTACACAGAAGGTTTAATATCTTTTGACCTTCACGTCGAACCAAACACGTGAGCAGCTGGGGAATCCTGAGCAATAAAGACAAAAAAGAAGAATTATTCACTCCGCATGTTAAACACGAAACAAATGGACAAGAGACGTTACTTGACGTAACTTACCAGGGAAGCCAGTGAACCGGGGGGACACCGACACAATATTTGTCGACTGCTTCAGCGATCGAGCCCTATAAACATAAATCGGTGAGCTTTTATCATCACTGAAGTCAGCTTTAGAAACTTTCTAAGGTGGTCAATTTTCTTTATCAACTCATTTGACTAAACCAAATTATCGTAGTTTACTTTCCGCCGACGCAGTACCACAGTTTCTTACAGAGACTACCCCCTTAACGCCTCGGTAAGGCGTATCAATGTATATAAAAAGTTGTTTCTATCCACGAGAAAACGGACCCTACGGTCTATATAATTACGCGTACAAGTGAACGGCACATACTGTCTAATTACACGGGCATGACGCTTAAAATGTGCTGTTCGAACTTAAATAGGGCTACAGATAAGCAATGAGAATCTTGTTGCTGTTGTGATTAAGCTGCAAATATCTTGTTACCAGACCTTTTCGTCATCATACGTCATCAACCAAATTGTTCGCGCCAAATACTTGCGGCACTTGGCCTCGTTTTGGTGTCTGCAGGCGTGAAGATAACAAACAATGGCGGATACACCAAGCTGTATGTTCCTGCAATCACATATGGAAAAATAATGTGACGCATAGGAAATAAGTATCAAATTAATACAAATTTATATATGTGGCCTTATACATAAAACTTATGGGTATGGTGCTTCGATGCGCGCGCGCTCCGCTGTAATCTAAAGTAGTGGAGTTAAAAAAGAGACCCACATTGTAATAGTCGTTTTCTGGCTGGTATAGTCACTACAAACACTCAAATATGTGGGTGATGTAAGAGAAAAGAAGGGTATTTTCTTACCTCTCTAGAACAAAAAGACCATCAAGGTAGTCACCCCATAGTGCCCAGGCTTTCACAAGCGAGTCCTGCATCTGAACCGCTTGCGAGAAAGCTTTGTTAGCATCTTCAGACCTACAAACACATTAAAATAAAACAAATTTACCCTAAGCAGAGGAAATAAAAGTGCTTCAAAAGGTCAGCAACTATCGGCAATAAAATATCCGACCTTCGCATTTCCTGTTGGACGCTAAACAAAGTATTTCTGTACTGATTATTGTTCTGATTGTACTGATTGACGTGACTTGAGTGTCGAAGGCAGTCTGGGATTGCTTTGCATTTGCTTCATTTCGTTATGTGATTGTTCCAAAAAACTCGCGCCACTTTTTCAGCCAATCAAATTCAAAACTAAACCCAATGGCAACTTGGTCACTCGCGTTTTCCCGCGCTCCAGGCAGGTTGCTTGTTTTTACTTCGAGTGATATTTTCGTGATATTTTCCATCCTATGATTGGCTGTTGGAGTTGCTTTGGTTTGGTTTAAGACACTCAAAACAATCTAAGGCGACAATTTGCCCCTGTTTTTCGTTTTGTTCCTCTTTCGTCGTGTTCTCTCTGCTTTCAATTTACCTTCCAATGTAAGCGAGGAACATTCCTTTGAGAGCAAAGAACTCTGCAGTCATTTCCTTGGAAAAGTATTTCAAATTTGTAGACTCGATGACCTCAAGGCCCTGTAAGATTGACAAAAAAACAGCATTAGTTTAGTCTAATTTTCCGAATTCATAATGAGGAACCTCACGTATGGTTTAACTAAGAGAGGAGCCAAACGTCTGCGCATGAGTGAACGCTGTAATGATGAGATGGCGTGCTTTCAGGCAGTTAGAACTAAGTTGCCTCTCGGTGTCATAGAAGCGTATAACGTTTTCAGTAGAACTCAAAGCAAAAACGTAAATCAGCATGAAAACCCTCCTTGAAAAATCTTTGTGTTCGAAAAGTCTCGAGTTTTCCTTTTCCTTATCTTTGTTTCCTTTTACAGATTTTCATGAACAATTCAATTTCTTTTCTCTTATTCTGTGAGATAGCGGTTTTTCTTATGTTTTCCTGTTAATTTTTTTGGCCAAAATTGCGCGCAGCCGGCCAAAACTGATCCCTCGCGCACACCCGACGTTGGACCGCTGCGTTAGTTTGGCTCACCAACCAGTGAAAAAGATCACAATTTTCTTCCGTTGTAGCTCCTCTATTCCACTCACCTCTTGCAACTCTTGTTTTCCCATTCCGCCAGCCATCTGCAGATAACACTTCACCTGCTGTCTAATCTTCTGGAAACAATCCACGATAGGAACACTGGGAATAGTGTGAATCCTGTAACACACATGAAAAGAGGTCAGCGGCAAGTTTAGAGTGGTATTAAATTGCATAAGTGTGCTACTACCAACCTGCTGAGCGAGTCCAAACACACTCCAGTGAGGCCTTGTTTCCTGGCTATGTAACCAT